GGGCCAGCGGGGGCCGGGCAGCTCCTCCAGCCCCGTGAGCGAACCCTTAGCCCCAACCCGCCCCTCCCCGCAGCCCCGTGGGCTGCGCACCGGCAAAGCGAGACCCGTCCCTCCCCGCGGCCTTTCCCCTGGCACCGGCGGGGCCGGAGCGCGACCCGCAGCCGCTGCGGCCGGAGCTGAAGTTGGGCGGCTGGAGAGCCGCGGCTCATGCCGCCCGCTGAGCCGGGGGGGTCGGGGCTGCCCCACTCGGCCCCGCCCGGCCCGGGCCGCCCCGCCCGCCGCCTCCGCGCTCACAGCAGCACTTTTTGGGGACGGTGCGAGGTGCACTGAGATCTGCCGTCCCACTGAATTATCACTTCTTTTTTTTTTTCTCCTTGAAAAGGACTTGGGGGTCTCTGAAGAAACAATCAGCCGCTGCTCTGAAGGAAAGGAGCGATACCATTCAGAGCTACTGTAGCGTAATGTGTTCACTTGGGCAGTAGGAAAACCCTTTATGAAAATTAGTTACAGAGCCTGAAACTCCCCCTCCATCCCCCCGTGTGCCAACCGCAGCCATTGTGCGCACAGGGCTCAGCGCAGCCCGCCCGCAAGAAGTTGGCCCCGCTCCGGCTCGGGAAGCTCCTCCGTGCAGCCCCGGCGCTGGGGAGAGGCGGGAGACATCGGCGGGGCCGAATCGGGGGGAAAGGGATCCCCGCCTGCTCCCTGCATCACCCGGGGGTCGGCGCTGCCCGGCAAGTGCGGCCGTGCCCTTGAGAGCGCCTGTGACCTCACGGCAGGGAGATTTGGTTGTGCCCAGATACATCCTGCAGCGGGAAAAAGCCCGGCGCGGAGATTCTCCTGCTAGATCCCTCCTTTCTTCCCGCAGAAACTTCTTCCCTAGGCGGCTATTTTACTAATTTACATATAGCGTTTGCGTTAAGACAGGCAAGTTTCTCTTAAAAAATACTAAAGAAAAGAAAAAGGCGTCCAGCCGTCACCAAAAGAACCTCGCTCTGCCCCTGGCGCCCGGTGCCGCTCCGCCGCTACGGGACGTGGGCAGCAGCGGCCCCGCGATCCGCCCGTGACCAGGGCCGAGATGCATCAAGCACCGGCGGGTCCCGGTTGGCACGGCCGGGTCAGGAGGGTGGTGGAAACCGAGCAAGTGTGACACCGGCATTGATTCGCTCTCTTTGTTCTCGTGTCATCGGTACACAATGGAGAGAGAAAGAAACGTGACTTAAAAATCGCAATTAACCGGCTTCAGTGCGGGCTTCTTCCGTGGGTTAATTCTTGTTATCAAATCCCATTCCTTCTCTAAAAAAGCTCTTCCAATTTTAAAATAAAATAGACGGTATAAAATACTTTCCATCTTTCTATTGTAAGAGTTACTTAAATTACTACTGGAAGTTTCTCACTGGCTCAGTCAGGTCTTGAAAGAACAGCATTTTTTTTCTACTGTTTTAAAAGTATTAACTTCCTTTCAAACATCCCTTAACCTTTAATGTTTTGCAACTTGATGAAAAGGTCACTTTGCTTGGAGTGGGTGCATCTGCTTCGTAATTGTTCTAATATCAAGCAGAGCTCCATCACAACACTAAGTTCTTTTACGAAGGTTTTTTTTCCTTAATACACTATTGGTAAGGTTACCGGGAGTAATTGTTCTAAAGGCAGAGAGCCACAGACCAAAGGATGCTTGCACCTTATTTAATTTCACCAACCTCAGATGCTCAGAGCTGCATCCAAAAGATGACATCAGCGGGGCTCTGAGAAGAGGAACCTGACCAATTCCACCTCGTCCAACTGGGGCGGGCCTGGGGCAGGGCAGGAGCAGCACAAACAGTTGGATTACTGGACCCTGCTGCTTAACGAAGTATTGCTGAATACCAACCAATATTCCCCTGAGCCTGCAGCAAGCTCTGCCCGCTCACTGCGGAGCACTCTGCAGGGAACCGTGCAAGGAAGCAGCGCCACAGGTGGGTTAAGGCCCGAGGAGCAGCCAGCACCAGAGATCTGGGGCCACGGGGCAGCAGTTCTCACCAACCAGACCTGAAAAGCGATGCCGTGTTACTAATCCAATTATACCTTCCATAACTTGCTGTGAGGGCAGTGGAAGCCTTTCAGCACGTGTAAATCAGCATTTAGCAGTGGGGACAACACTACTTTGACCACTTAGCCAGTTCTGGTACAGGCAACCTGTGTTCCTTCCCATGCAAAGGGAACACGTCCACCCCCTTCCTGGTCTCACTGTGCCCCTCTGGGGCAGAATGGGGCCTGGGACAGGAGGAGAACCCCCTTATCCTCTGTACTGCAGCTGCGCCAGACTGCAGTGATCAGAGCAAGGATCTGAAACTGAAGCACTCATCACTCTAAAACACAGCAAAATTTTCTCATTCTTACACAACTCAAACATCCAGTGAACGTGTTTAATTAAAACTTGGCTATACATTTTTTTTTTTTAAGATTAAAAAAAAAAAGAAATGAGCTAATTATATTGCTTAATATTCTAATAAGTTTTTGTTCTTGTTTTTAAATAACACACTTTTTTAGCCAAGCCAATCCCTTGAGGACTGCTTCCTCATTTATAAGGCAGTCCCCAGTGGGAGTTAAGAGGAGGCTATTTTATATGAGGAAAATGTGTTCTGAAAGAGGAGCCCTACAAAGATAACCCCACATCACATACATCAGTATGGAGGCTAGAACACGTATTCCAGTGATGCAAATCTTCCCCTGCAATAATTTGCTCATTAGCATTACCAAAAGCCCGGATACTGATGTCTATGTATTTGTTCTTGTATTTTTCACCGCACTAATGCTTTTAACTACAATTATTTTAAAATTTTGCTTTATTTAATGAATTTAAAGGTCAATCCTCTTCCTTTCCATATGCAAATCCTATCAACAGTAGAGGCTTAAAATTAATGGGAGTTAATATACTAGAAGCTCCCTTTACACCCAAACCTCATGAGGGAACAAAATAACCTCAAGATAATTTCACCAAACTCACTGCTTTCTGCTGTTTTTGAGTCACCAACCAGCCGCAGTACCCTGTGGGTGGGGAGAAGGGATGGGAGGGCAGGTGGGAGCTGCCGGCACAGCTGCAGCTCTCTGACACACACACAGGTGCCACGTAAGAGCTGCAGGGTCTGACGGCATTTTTTAACTACAGATGTTGGTGTTACAACTGTGGCACAGGGAGGTGGGAAGGGACGGCCAGCCCCAGTGCTTTTCCTCTGCAGGCCCTGAGGAAAATATTCGCCATGCCACTGAGAGCAGCTCGGCTGACATGACTCTGGCTGCCTCAGGCCGTACAGGGTCTGTCTGCCAGGCCTTTCAGGCAGCTGGGCCAGGTGCCCATCAGCAGAGCACCACCAGCCCAGAGTGTTTCTCTGTTGGTGGGGAACAGCAAAACCCCCACAGTAAGGACGGCACTAGGCCTTGGTTCCTCAGGGACAGGACACATGACAGGGCCAACTAAGGACCACAACCACCAAACTCCAGACCCGCAGCCTGACTGACCTGCTCCTGGTGTGCCAGGCCTTCTGCTCCCAGGGATCGCAGAGCTGCCACTGGGATGGGCTGCAGCATTCTGAATCCCCTCACAGAGCTCAGCAGTGGGCCCGGTGCAGACAAGGCTCAGGAGCTGAGCCCTCACAGTGCCAGCAGCACAGATGGGCTCCCGCTCCTCTCACATTGGAGCAGATAACATCGCGCTGTCCCACGGCATACATTAAGGCCACCTCTTCCTTCCCAGCCCTGATGTGGCCAAAGCGCTGGCAAGGGCAGGGCTGCAGGGCCGGCAGCACGCTGAGGTGACGGCTCTGTGGTGCTGAGGAGGTCTGCGCCCTGTTCAGCCCCGCAAGCTGGGATCGCAGGCTGATGGACGCTCGCAGCTTCCACTGACTTCTCTGCAAAGCAGAGAGCACAGTTAGCTCTTGTATTTGAAGTGCATGACACAATAAGACTTACCCAGCTTATGCCTGTTGTGTGAGCGCTGATCGCTCTGTTTCCAGCCGAATGGCAAAGCTCTGTAATTGTCCAGGTACGTCACAGGCTTGAGGTTTGCATTTTTACAAACGTTGGGTGTAAATTACTTCCACAAACAGGAATCTGGACTCGGTGAAACAACACAGTTGTCTGCTATAGCAAATCTGGTGTTCCTGGATTCAAATCTGCTGGAGGCATTCTGGATTTTAATTAATATATTGCTTCATATGTATGAGAATTTCTCTTTCTGGTTTTTTTTTTTTTTTCATCTGTTTTCACACACTGCACTTCTAGTTTAAACAAAACACATTTTCTGCACTGCTCTCCAAAGCAATTGAATAAATATCACAGACTGTATAGATCCGGTAGCCTTTCCAGTGAGCAACACAGCAGTCATGCTTCACAGAAAAGGGATAACATCCGAGAGTGCAGCTGATAAGAGCAACAATTTACAAAGCAAGAGATCTGTTATGCAGTGAAAGCTTTATTACCATGACTTGACGTTACGTCTCCAGCACATAAGGGTTAATCATGGCAGCAGTTTGCAGCTGGCTGCGCTCTCGGGGGAGCCATAGCGATAGACTTCTGTGTGCAAGACAAGGTCAGCGCCGCTCCCTGGGGTCAGCCGGCCCCGCGATAACATAGCTCCCAAACTTTGGCCCCAAGGAGACACAGGTGCCAAACCCATTTTGTGGTCTGCTGTAGAGCGCTTCTTGTGGTTTTTCTTCTCCTCGATAAAAACACATACATAGCTCTGTGGTATATAATTGGACAGCGAGTTTTCAGAGCTACCCATCAGCGGGAGTTTTCTGTGGCAGCAGTGGGTTTGTGAGCTGGCCGGGTACATGTAACATTTCACGGGAGACTTACTCTTAGTGGACTGATAAAACAGAGCAGGCAGTGCCGAGTGTAAGGGCCAAATCCTGCCTAATTTGTGCAGGCTCATTGTTTAAAATGCTCAAAGGGTAAAGGAAACAGAATTGGACTTCAACATTTTATTAATATTTATCTTCTATTGCTACAAGACACAACAATAATCAAATAAGAAAAACTTTAATCCTCAAATGCAGCTTTAATCTTCAAATTGGTTAGCTTATCAGAGGGGTAACATTTATTTCCAAAGACAGACTGCTCGGAAGGATTGGCTGAAATGGAAACCTGTAAGTGAAAGGATGTAAGTTTATTGGGCAGTGTTGTCTATATTTATAGTTTCTGCTCAACCCGTATTTCTGTTTTTATATGCATGTGTCAAAAATTAATATACGGCAAACTTCACCAACAGTTTTAAGAGATCCTAAAATATAATAAAATCAATAAATGATGTTCTGGCATAAACGTTTCTGTAGCTGAGGGTGGTCAGGTTCAAAGGGCAACATCTGACCATTTCTCTTTCCCACCCTGCTGTGGAGTAGGACCCTCCCCTCAACTTCAAATCACTGGGGAGAGGGTAATTTAAGCTATACTTGATGTACCCTATACATCACTGTCTTCAGGACCAGGTTTAAAATTAAACTCTGATGTACAAAGTTAAACAAAAATGAGATAAAAATTGGCAGGGGTTGAAGAGGGTCAAACTAGTCAAAACACAAGGTAGACTATTGCTTCTTTTGATTTATGTTATTCCGTGCGCTAAAGAAAAATAAAATTATACCTCTCATGGAGACTTTTTTCATTGAGAATAACGCATTCCTAATTTGTTTTCTATAGACTTACAGGGCATTTACTGTAGGAGAGGGAAGCATTTATTTATTTATTTATTTAGTTTGGCAGGGACAGAATATCATCAGCTGCTGGCAGAATATTCAAATTATCATTAAGTGCAACCTTTGTCACTCAGCAGCAAGTGAAAGAGAACAGTGTTTCACTTTCTGTTAGTGGTTATCTTATAATGCACGCACATATAAGCGCATAATCACAGAATTTAGCTTTGAGGCAACTGTTTTAAACGCAAACAACGTACTACAGTCACATTTGGTAACAGAAAGAAGGAGTTCAGTGAACGTTTCCTTTCTCATGTTTTACATGCACATAATGCAGTTACCCTCCAGAAATTCAGTACAGGAAAGATGCCAAATGGAGGATTCTTTTGAAACCAATTCAAGAAAATCCTTGCAGGAAGTTAATTTTTTATGATGTAGTCAACTTTTCCACATATTGCCATTTATATGGTTAGTGTGTGGACTGCAGGCAAAGTAATTCGGAATTGTAATCTTTATTTTCTCTAATACGATAATGAAATCAACTACTATCCGCTGGAATCAAATGATTTTTTTTCTGTGCTACTCCAGTGAGAGGAATACAGGAATTCTGCTGCCTAAACTGCCTCGCTAATGGGAAAATGAAGAAAAATCAAGTTCTCAGACAGCTAGTAAATAAAAAAGTCCTCAATTTAAGCATGCAGGTTGACATGTAAAGATGTTGGAATCTTTTTAAAGCTGATTAGGCAAGGGGTTTGTTTCATTGTTGCTTTTTTTTTTTTTTCTGGAAAGTTTTTAATTTTACTAAGAAAAAGCCCTATTGATTCTATATGGATTACAGCTGGCTGGAGTTGGCTCGTTCTTTCTTGGGTTGCATGAGGGCATTGGTACACAAAGGGATCTAAGCTTTAAAAATGCCTGAGCTTGTTTTTAAATCTAACAGGAGAAAAACACTGTTGAGACAATGATAAAAGAAGAGTTTTTAAAGTGCTGTTTGATTAACATTGACAATGAAGATTCTCTGTTAATTTACTGAGGGCATACCTGCCATTTAGTATGCAGATTTTAGTCTTTCAATAAGTCTAAGTGATGCACTGTATAAAATACATTTTATATGTGTGATGTTACAGGACTGATCTGCATATATGCCTTTAATATGCATGATTTGGCAAACAATTTATGTAACAGCTAATGAACGCAATTTTTCCCGGACACCTGATTGGGAAGCTGAAAGTGAAATAGACATAAAACCAGCAAATCGTTTTAATAGGAATAGCAAGCAAAGATAAAGATCAAATGCTATAACGGGTCCATTATATCACTCATAGTCTAGTGTGCCAAACCCTCTGAGTTTAACAGCAATATTTTTTCTCCTATCAGTGAAGACATTTTCAAATATCTGTTTTGTTTTGTTTGTTTGTTTAAAGTCTTGTGGGGTCACAGAGAGAACTAGTCACGCTCTCTGTAACTACAGCAGATTGCGTGCAGCAAAGAGCAGATGCAGGAGCTAGTTGGTTAGGAAAAGATGATACAAAATTTTTCTTTCTCCATTACACTTTAGGAATCAGGAGATCTATGAATTAAGGAGATGGTCACAAAGGTGACAAGGAAGTCCCACAATATTCACGTACAATGAAAATGCTTTGAGAACCTGCAGGGTTTTAGAATGAAGGTTCACACAGAACAGGAGCTACTCTGAGGCCAATAGCTGGTCAGAAAGCAGGTGAAGAACAATAAGACACAAATAAATTAAAAAGAGGGAGAACATCAGCTGTTAGACATACAAGTAATCCTTTAAAAATCATGTGCTCAGCCTGTGACACGAGAGACGAACTGATTGATTCCTCCTTGCACAAGGCAGCTGGCTGGGGGAACTGTTCCATGTCCCAGCTGCTCACTGATTCCACTGCCTCACCCAGTCACCCAAGACTGTGATGTGTCAAGGCCCCTACGTGTGCTGGTCCTGTGAGGGCTTAATTCAGAGCTCATCAAAATCAATAGGAAGATTTCCACTGGCTTTGAGGTAGATTTTGTTATACCTTTTCCATCTACACAGCTCCAAGAGAGGTTTTCATTTTGATATAAATATATACTGTCCGGTTTTTTACTGTACAGTATTTTTATGGAATGAAATTTGCTCACCAACATCTATAAATACTCTAATTATTAACAACATTTCTTCAATCCTTGTTTTATCAGGAAAGCAATCTCACAAGAACCTTCTTCTGTGTCCAGTACATTAACTTGCTCAAGCACTCGAAAGGTACCATGCTCTGAGCAACAGTAAAGAACTGAGCCTATAATTTAATAACCCTCCTTCTGAGTAATTAGTATTCACTCAATGAAATTCAGGCTTTGCAGAGGTCCAGTCAAAGGCCTAAGCACCATTTAAGTCCAGCTGACTCCCTAGGGCATCTCTGAGCTGAATTGGGCCCCATTTTATTAAATTATAATAGAAAGACTGCCATGTCAAGTATTCCAATGCTGAAAGACCCAACCCCACAAGACCTCACACGGATAAGTAATCATCACTTATGCTAATAGCACATTTGACTTCCGTGGGATGACACATGAGGATGGACTACTTACTTGACTAAGATTAGTAAGAACGGGCATGTTACACAGAACAAATGACTTCTAAATACCCAGCTGCAGTGAAGTGCTGACTCCCATCAGTGAGTGCTGCGAGGGTGAATGAAGGGCAGGATGTGATCTTTAGAAGCCTCGCTTAATGCAGTTTCTGAATTGGTGACAGTTTTGCAGATTTCTAACTCATAATAAACCTCAGCTTTGTCTCCTCACTTACAAGCTTCTCTCTGCCATTCCTCTGTCCTACTTTCCTTTTCTTTTGCCATAATCCCACAATTGTTTTTTTTCCCCACTCTTCTGAATTTAGTGTTTTGGAACACAAAAACAACAAAGTCACAAAACCACGAATGCTCCTATTTACCAGCAGAGCACACTGCTTGGTAGTATTTCTCAATTGCTCTGAATGTCCCACTCCTCTCTTCTGCTGGTATCAGTGCAGCTTCTATGCTCATTGGCTTCTCCCTTCAAACCTGGTGATAAAGGCATCATTCTGGGTTTGTCAGTCTAGTGATTTGTCTGAAAAAATGCCTAAGTGTTAGGGCATCTGTTGAATACTTTTTTTTTTTTTTAATGCAGTCACAGGAATAAACACATTTCTGCCTTTATGCTCTACAAGGCATTTGTAGCAACATCCTAGAAAGAAAAATCTTTGCATCTCACCTGCCTCAGTTTCACTTATTTCACAAATTCCTTCTGGCACAGCTTTACTTTCCTAATTTTCTTTCATTCAATTAAAAACAATTTCATAGCATTCTCTTATGCCGATCTTACTTATATATATATATATATAATTTTTTTTTTTCCTCTACCATTGGCTGGAGAAGCTTTATCTGAAAGTAGTATTGTTGTCATCACTGGTTCACTGACTGGCTTCTAGGGGTATTTACAAATCCAGAATTAATTTGTTCCTAAGATCTAGGCAAAAATATATATCTGGTAGAGGATTTATAACTAGTATACAGAATTTATCCAATACCAAATCCCAAATCCAAAATGATATAACCTAATCACAAAGGAAACCTTAGAACCCACTTTGTTTGACCTATATTGTAGAAAACCATAAGGCAAAGAAGATAATATTATATCATTAGCTGTACTCTTCAATGAGTATTTTCCATTTTCTTGCAGGCTTCTAGCTCAGCTGTAACAACTGCTCTGTTTGTGTGTGCCTGTGTGTTTTGCCAATCACGAGTGAAATAAAAATGCCCTAATTTCTGCAACTCTGCTTTCATTACACTGTAAAGCACTAAAAGCAGAAACAGTTTCCTGAAGAACCCCTTCATAGCAGGCCCTTGAACAAGATGACTGTTTCTAATAAGCAACAGCTGTCGTTGTGGTTTTACTAGTCAAATGATTCATGTCTTTTGCTCAGAAATGATAAGTGGAACAAATGTTTACTTAGATATGTAACAGAGGAACAATTGAAAAATAGTAGACTGTCAAATAGAAATATTTTCCTGTTATCTGATCCTTAACAATTAGCCCAAACTGGTTTTAAGTCAGAAGGCAGCATTACAGCAGTGCAGTCAGCATTGGTAAAGAGTTTAGCTCAACAGTTTTGCAAACAGAACTCAGCAGGCTGTGTTGGAAATGTTTGCCATGGCCTTGAAGGTCTGGGGGCTGCAAGCAGCTCTGTGCCTGCTGCCACCCACCCTCAGTCCTGGCAATCTCCCCTCCTACCTTCAGTCATCTTCAAAAGGAAGACAGTGAACTTTCCACTCGGTTTATTTTGTCTTCAGGGAATATCAACGCGCTTCTCCACTGCTTGGTCTTGAGTGAATACCCCCTGCTTGCTACCGCTTCCCCAGGATTACAGGGTCTGCTGGGAAGAGCAGAGGAAAAGTACTCTAATGCAAGAGATTCCAGGCTACGTTCAAGGACAAAACAATTGCATTACTCCTTGGGTGCTTGGAAGGAGAAACTAAAGGACCTTTGGTGTCTCTCTGCTGTGCCTGGAAGCTGCTGCAGTCAGAGAGATTTGATACTGCTGTGGCATCTCAGGGCCAGAGGTAAATTTTTGTTAAGTGCTAGAGGAAGCAGTGGTAGACTAACTTCTATAAGTCTAAGAGGACAGCATCAAAAAGCAGTATCTGCTGCTTTGAAGGATGGAGCTGGGGGAGAAATAGCCGCAGAGGAGACCCAGGGAGCCTTGGCATGCTCAGTGTGCAAATGATATCACAACCCACCTGTAATTTATTTGAGCTTATATTGATGCTTGTCAAGAAAACAGGGTTTATACCCACCTTTAGTATGCACTGATTCTGGACTTTGACAGAATTCCCTTGCCAATATTGCTGTGTGACACTGCAATGAGTTGCACAGATTCTCAGAGCTCTGGTTTTCCATATTTCCATTTGTAAAACAGTGGTGATATTTCTTCTCTCCCCTTGCTTAGCTTGCCAGGCTCCTGGGACCAGCAGTCCTTTATTGTGTGCCTCTGTATCATCTTGTACAACAAGATCCTGCTCTCAGCAGCTGAAGATTCTAAGTATCTCTGAAATATAAATAGATACTAATAAGAATATTTTGACACAAGATGGAATTTTATATTCTGGAGAGGGAAATAAAATATGTACTAAAGTCTACTAAAGTGTAACCATGAGATCAAATGATAAAATTCTTCTAGAAACAAAGAAGTGACACAAATTTGTGAGATTAAACTGAACCAAAGCAACAAAGGCTTGTTCTGGTGGCTTATTCACATAAAGTATATGAAAAAGTAAGTGAGATGATCAAATTACCCTCACAGCATGGATTTTGACATGGATGTAGACTAACTGAGTCACTGGAGGACTGAGCAGGTGCGTTGTTCTAATTATACCCTCAGCTTAGTGAGGAAGGAGCAAACTTCCCAGTTGCTTCCCTGGTGGAGATAAGGTGTTATCAGCCATCAGCAAATGAGAGGGGAGAGCAAGGACAAGGCACCTGATGGGAGAAAGAGAAGGGAAGGAGGAAGCTAACAGAGCACATTCATAACACTCCTCATCTTTTAAAAATGTATACACACACCTACTCTGAGCCATTTGTGTGCCACTTCTGAAACTCATTTCACATGTCTCTGCTTAACCTTTCTCTATGGCAAGGTACACTTTTTTTTTTTTTTTTTTTTTTTAACATTTTCTATTTTATAGTCTTGTAGTGAGATAGCTGGCTAAATATGATGCTTTATTTGTTTATTGATTAATCAGCAACAGGCATACTAGGAGTTATAAGCCAAGCAGTCCCACACATAGATTTTTATCACTGTATAACATAACCCAAGGGAAATATGCTTTTTTTTTTTTTTTTTTTCAAGAGCATAAATGGACATTTCTATAAATTGCAACTACTTGGGAGCATGTAATATGCAATATTATTCATCTTTGTATTCCAGGTGAATCCAGACTAGACTACCAGCCTCTAGGGGAGTCTGCTTCATATAATTATCAGTATTCAAAGAATGATTGTAGATGTTGTAGCTTAACAGCAGGTGAATGGTCCTTATCTGAATATTAAATAAAGTGCAACTTGATTTCCAGGTTCTCTCTGACTAAATGTTTGCAAAGTCATTAGTGAAAGCATGCAGCTATAATCCCAGCCACTCTTTTTCTTACAAAGGATTTCCGCTTTTAATTCCTTTACAGGACGAATTGATCACCTCCCTTTCCTATTCACAGTCTTGTCCCTTGATTGGACTACCAGAAACATCCAGGAATTGCCTTCTAAGTAGTACCTACACTCGTCATTTCTTTAAAATCAGAAACAACAAAAGAAACGCAGGGAAGAGCAAAAAAGAGAAAGATTTATTATTTCCTCTAAGGATTATCAGAGCTCTGAGTGTTGGGAAAAGGCTGTTTAGTAAACTGCTCCTTTGTCCTCCCAAGTTCCAGGAACTTGAGCTCTGTATTTGGTTTCCTTGTTGCATGATCTGTGAGCAGCTTTATATATTTATTTAGCAAAAGCCTTTTATTACTGTTTTAAAATGTGGAATTTAATGTACTTGAAAACTATCTTAGTATCTCGATGGCGGATGCTATGCAAATATAGTAGACAGTTGTGTTATAGGAAAATTAATAGCAACGGAGAAAAAGAACAAAAACACCCCCTGCTGAGCAGAAGAGAACAGACCAGAACTGGCAAAGGAAAATTAATGGAGATAAAGGAAAAAGAATTACTGTGGGACTATATAAAACATGATCTCGAAGCACAAGCCATGTCTCAGTCCTCAGCTGAGAAGAGTACAAGAATCCTGCTGGAGAGCTGTTTTTAGGAGGACTGCTTACGGCTCTCCAGCAATGTACATAAGCTAGAACATCGGCTGCATCCTTTGCCAAGCATCACAAAAACTTTACACCCACTAAAGGTCCATTTTTGGGCCAACAGTGAAAAAGCATGTAATCACAAAAATCTCAAATCTGTCATTTAACATCTACATCAATCAATCTAGATAGCTAAAACAACACCAGATTCTTCGCTGTGCCATGCCATGCCATGCACTACTCTTAGGTGGATTCTCACTTATTCTAAGCTGTAACCTGTTGAGTTTTCAGCATGACATAGAAAAACTATTTGGTTTTCAAGCAATATACCTCTCACTGCTGTTTCAGACTTCTGCAGGCTCAGACAGATGGTTCTGCTCTGTCTACACCTCTGCAGAAATGTGGAGTAGAAATGTTTATTCAAAAAGGGAGGAGAGAAGAAAGCTGCACACAATTCTGTGCTTAGCTCTGAATTATCCTGCAAGCCAGGTAGTCTCAGGGGTTAGAGAATCCAAGGGACTCTGCTTATGTATGCCAAAGTCCTGGATTTTATGGTGAAAATAAATAGTGAGAGCTTTTTCCAGCAAGTGAGCACTGCTATATTGTTTTCTTGTTTGTTTTTAAATTTTTAAAAGGTAAAAAAGTGAACAACAACATTGGGTTGAACAATGCAAAATACATTTGCTCACTTTCAAATACTCCTCTCCTCGCTCTCCACACAACTATCTTTCAAAGCCTGCTGATGAAATTATGAAATCCTTACTGTAATTTCATGTTCACTGTGTAAGAATTTAAAGACCCTACGTTTTGGAATTCTCATCCACTGAGAAATGGGCATTCTGTAACTCCCTGTTTCCTACTTTTGCTTACAGGGGCATCTACAGAGGAACTGGGCCCATTCTGCCCATTTTGTACCTATGCCACAGTACAGTTGCCAGCAATCTAGGAAGCAGCCTGAAGCAGTGTGGTTTTTTCCAGTCCCATATTCTTAGGTGTACTTATGTGAAAGTGAACTGTACAGATCAGTTCTGATATTTCTGTTTTCCTAAGCTGAAAAGAAAAAAAAAAAAGAGACAAAACAACAAAGGAACTGAACAACCTTTCCTTTTTGTTTGCATGCACAGCTGTGATGATTTTCTGTTAAGGGAAGCACTTTTGCACATTTACACAGGAGTCCTTAGGTACCTTCTGAGGAATCCATCCTCTAGGAGCAGAAATACAGTATTTTGTCCAGGACAAAAGACAGAAGCTAACAACTTCTTTTTTTTTTCTATTTTGCATTTTTAATATGTACAAATAAATAAATAAATAAATAAAAATTAAAAAAAGAAAAAAAAGAGAGAGAGAAAAAGAGATTAAAAAGGAGAAAAGATACAGCCCAAATTGTCTATACAGTTCATAACTTAAATATTCAGCCTTGCTCAAGTGCCAGCCACCTGCAGTCACAGGAATTAGTCCTGATCTATTCTTAAACACACCCATGTTCTAATGATTCTTTTTAGCAACACCAGAATTCACATTATTTGTATTCATTTATATTTTTATAATCTGTGGAAGCACTTGCACACCTCTGGATTTAAAAACAAGCCCTGCAGCAGACCATCTGCACTTAGAAGCTGATGGCCAAACCCAACTCCAGCTGAAGCCAGGGGAAATTCTGACATTTATTTTAATGGTGAAATTATAATCTGGTCAAACTACAGTACAGGGTAAGATGATTTGCTTAGGGAGGGATGAGGGTCGGCTTTGTCCCTGTCATCAACCACATGCTGGCTGATTTAAGAATAAAACTTGGACCTGTTCACAGAGGTAATCAATCTTTAGATCAGAGCCTCTTGTTCAGCTAGTCTAAGCATTGGGACAAACAGAAAAACAGCAACTCTTAGAGATCATGAGAATGTCTCATGCTTTAGTATCTTGTCCTCCAAAAACTAAGAAAAAAGAAAACCGACAACAACAAACAGGGAGCTGATCCAGCATATGCTTCCTTCTGTAACTGACAGAGTGAGGCTGATAAATAGCAAGCACAAATTTTACAATTGCATAACACTTACATTAGGAATGTAATTCTCTCTAAGTCTGTAGTACATACGAATTTTCCAAATTTCTTATGGAAGAGGACTGGGGAGAAATCCAACCCGTGCTCAGCAAAGATTTTTCCTGTCCCCTCATGCAGAGACCCCAAGCAGTACAGGCCTGGTCCTCTGCAGTCCCTGCCCTGCCTCTGCCTGCTGCCCTGCTGCAGGGCTGGGAGGGAAGTCCAGGGCAGGTGGGCTGTCCCTATGAACTTCAGCAACTTCCATAGCACAGCACCATGATTCAAAGCCTTGAGCCACGGGCTCTCTTGACTGCTGCTTAGTACATGCCTGGACATTTACAGCCCATAGCCTTTCCCAAAAAGCCTGACAGAGGCCCAAAGCAGGTAAATTACTGTTAGCCATAGAAGCATTCCTAAACAGATGAGGGTGTGAGCTATGCAAATATTTACCCTATAAATCTGTTGTGTGGCTTGGGAGTAAAACAAAAAGCCACTTAAAAATTTCCTCCAAATTTGGCCATAGCATAGTTGTGCTAGTTCAAAGAAACAGAGTCAACTTTATTGTTATTAGTGCTTGGATCAAAGAAAATTATGAAAATAAACATTAGACAGAATGATAATCAACACTGGAAAAGAAATGTTTACTAAAGATTTTCTTCTGTGTTCTCTTACCAGAATTAATAATATTTTCTTTTTCTAAAGTTTTCTTGCTTCCTTCAAAGAGATTGATTTCAGTAGAAAGAACAAACATATGCAAATAAACTGAATGATGTTATACCCCCTGCCCCTACCCCCCCAAACTGCATCAGATAATTCCATATTGTTAGTCTGCATTACATTTTTATCAGTTTTTTGTCTTAATCAGATATGAAGCTCTTGCAGTACATCTCTAGAACCGAGCCGTGACCCTGATGTGACTCTACAGCACAGAAGCAGCCTTAACCCTGCTGTAATCTAATAGTTCAAATTTAACGGATTTGTTTTTTCAGTGGAAATAATGGCTTCCTGTCACAAAACAGAGCCACAGATTACATATCTGACAAATGGCTTTGGCATGATTTTTTCATGTAACACACAATTAACAGGGCTTTCTCATAAGACCTCATGGTTTACAGATCTGGTGAAATCATTAGTAAGTTCATTACTGTGTATTTTCTTCTTGAAAAAAAAATCAACACTTCTGCTGGTGCTTTAAAAACAAATAATACTTTGCTTAGA